ATTCAGAAACTATGTAGGTTTAAACAATGTATTCCTGGAACTTCAGTTTAGGAAAGAATTTTTTTTCAGATTGACATTTATTTTTTAAATATTTGCCATTCTTTGTATTGACTCTACTCCTCCTTTTCCAGGGCACTGTCTTTAATCTGGAGTCAGAGGAGGAGGAGTACCCTGGAGTCATCGCAGAAGACAGCAATGACATTTATATCCTGCCCAGTGACAACTCTGCACAAGTCAGTCCTCCCGAGTCTCCGACTGTGACCACCTCCTGGCAGTCAGAGAGCCTGCCCGTCTCGCTGTCGGCGAGCCAGAGCTGGCACACAGAAAGCCTGCCCGTGTCTCTGGGTCCCGAATCCTGGCAGCAGATTGCAATGGATCCTGAAGAAGTGAAAAGCTTAGACAGCAACGGCGCCGGGGAGAAGAGTGAGAACAACTCTTCCAATTCTGACATCGTGCACGTGGAGAAGGAAGAAGTGCCCGAGGGCACGGAAGAGGCCGCTGTGGCTTCTGGGGTCCTGCCTGCCGGGGAGCTGCGGGGGGCGTTCCCCGAAGCCCCGGCACCCTTGCTTCCACATGTCACTGCCACGTCCTTGCTGGAGACAGGGGGACCCGATGCAGAAGCGATTGCAGTCGAGAAGGCCAGCCCTGCGACCTCTTTGTTTGTGGAACTTGGTGAAGAAGAGGCGGAAGCAGCAACAGCTGAGCCTGCTGACGTGGAGGAGAAGGAGGCGACCCCTGCGCCGGAACCCGCGGAGACGCCGCTGAGCGAGGAGGAGACAGCTGGAAGGAGAGAGAGGCTCACAGAGGAGCCGTCCCCTGCTGGGAAGGCGAAGGCCATGCCCTTGTCCGAGGGCAAGTCCGTACTGCTGTTCGGAGGGGCCGCTGCTGTCGCCATCCTGGCAGTGGCAGTTGGGGTAGCACTGGCTCTGAGAAAGAAGTAGCAGAAGTTTTTCAGAAGAGGAGGAAGACAAAAGAATCTGAGATCTTAATCGTATTGGCTGGAAATTGAACCGGTAGCAGCTGATGGGACATTTGTGGAACACTCTGGGATAACTGGGGACTTCTCAACAAGGCAGTGGCTTGATCACACCTTAGGGCTCGAGGTAGAGGGCGTTCACGGTTGTCTGAATTCCAAGGGCCTTGGCTCACGCTAGATTCGCAATCTTGTAAGTAAAGTGCTCCCTCCAGAACAGGGTTTCTCAGCCTCGCCTTGTTGACACTTCCATCGTTCCTTGTTGTAGGAGGCTGTCCTGTGTATTGTAGGATGTTCAGCGACATCCCTGGCCTCTACCCACCCCACTCCCAGTGATGACAGCCAGAAATGTCTCCAGACGTTGCCAAATGTCCCCCGCGACAGAATCATCCCCTACTGAGGGCCACTGCTTTTGAGGGGGAGGGTTAATTTAGGAAAATTGGGGATAGAAATTCCCAGGCAAGGGGGCTTAGCTGTGGGCCCCTCAGCTGCAGACTTGTTGGCTCTTCACCCCCCGACACTTCACCTTCCTGCGGAACAGGCTGTGCCGCAGCCACCCCCATCCCGGAGTGCGAGGGTGCTTACCCCGCACGCCTCGGCCGCCTCTCAGGGACTGCACTGTCCTCTTCTCCCCGGGTTCCTGCTACGAGTCCCCAGGAGAGGGCTCGCTCTGTACTTCTGCTCAGACCCATCGAGTCCCTGAAGCTCCCTGCAGCTCCACCTTGTAAAGATGCTGCCTTTAGGAATCTTTAAAAAAATAAATATAAAGAGACCTAGGGTCCCCTGCCTGTGAGTGCAATTACAGGTAACTCTGGTAGAGAAGCATTTGTCTCGTTTAGAGGCAGGATGGCGGCCTAGATGACCTGCTGAGGTCTCCTCCAGCCCTTTTTGTCAGCAGTCACCCCACTTAGCTGTGGTTACTGCCAGCAGCATCTCTGTTCCTGAATGGTCACTGTCATAGCTCTGGGCTAGGGTAATTTTCCCAATATCTGACCTCAGTCTTACTACTGACCAGTTCTGTGGGTCTCTTGCCACAAGGTAAAGATTTTCATGCTTGGGCTTACAGAACCAGTTGGATCATAACTCTTTTAAATGTAGAAGGTCTTCTAAATATCATTGAAAAAAAGAACAGACTACCCTGGAGTTTCTAGTTTGGCTTTCAGAGTTCAAGAATGGAGGCGTCTTTGCCTAAACTCTTCCTAGCCCAAATGCCTGAGTAATAAACCAAAACGATCCTGATCAGTATATGCTAGCTGAGGATCAGCATAATTTTCTTTCATCTGGCTGATCGCACTTCTGAAGAAGGGATGGAGCCGAGTCGTTCCCTGCCCGAGGCTCACGGCGTCACTGCAGGGCACACATGCTTGATAAAAAAAAAGTCATCTCAGATTTATCTTAGTAAATGTAACAAATTACTTTTTAGATCCAGAAGTTTATAATAAAAGTACTTTACCTACCCTGATCACTAAAACCTGATGTTTTAAATGTGCTTTCTTTTTGAAATTTATTTTTTAAAATAAAGTCTTCTCCCTAAAGCAACACTGTTTAAACGTTGGTCAAGAACAGGTCTCAGAGTATGTCTGTGTGTCTTTTATAGCTTTATCGGGCAGCGTGTCTCTACGTTCTGAGCTGTGGCGTCCCACTGAGGGAGTGGCGTGTGAGGCTTTGGGTGCGCCTCGATCCGCGCAGCCGGAGGTGAGGGCGCAACGGAGAGTTTTTCCACTTGGGCTCTGGCGGCTGCACTGGATCACTCTGGATTCAAATCGATGTGTTTGCATAGGTTAAGAGCAGAGAAAACTAGTGAGCTATCTTGAGTTTTTGTTGTGGTCTTATAATAAAATATTTTCCTCCCAGTGTTAACACTTAAACTTCGGATCCTCACATCCATTGGCTGGGCACATCTAAGCACTAATGAAGCCAGGTTCATTTCTGAGCTGCTGAAAGATCCGGGGCTTAGGGTATCCGGCTCAGGATGTGTGGATTTATTCCCCACGAAAGGAGAGTGGGAAGTGTGATGTGCAAGTGGCTATTGCTGCTTTATTTTCCCACCTGTTGAACTTTAACCCAAAGTGATTTGGCCAGTTGTATTTTGCTAGGTAATGGCAAATAGCTATTCTTTACTATTGGCTTTCTCTAGAGTGAATCTTTGTTTCTGAGTGACAGGATGAGTCCCTGTTCTTCATGTCCTTGTCCTCTGCCTCTGGCTGTTGGGGGACGGCCCTAACGAGGACTGCTGCTTACAGGGGCTCCTACTCTCAGCTATTTCATTTTTAAAATTATTTCTCAAATTCCCTCTCCTCTTTTTTGGGGAGCTGACAGCAGTAGGCTGTTCCTTCCTGCCCTGTGACTGGCATACCGTCTAAGGTAAAGGGAAGATTCAGAATAAATCCAGCTTGTTTAAGGAAGAGGGAAAAGTTTTGTTAGTCCTTGGAACTCTTCTCAGCTGATGTATTGAAGGTCATGATTTCTGACCACTTGGCAAAAGGCCAGCGAAGGTTTGTTGAGGAGGAAAAAAAGCCAGAATTAAGCAATGCCAATTTATCCTGTCTGTATTAAAGTGATAATTCTGGGTCTACAGAATTCAGTACCTATAGTGTGCCTTAGGGGACTCTCATCATCATTGCCCTCTAGAGAACATTCTAGATAAAGAAATGCAGCTGTTGGAACTGGTTCGCCTGTTCCCCACCCAGAGGCATCCTTGAAACCTCCTCTTGCCTGTTTCTGTACCATCTCTTACCAAACGCAGCCACTACCTTCCTAGCTCTGTCCTGGGGGAGGGAACAGGGAACCCACAGCCACCATTAATACCCTCAGCCTTTGCGCTGATTGCTTCTGATGACAGAAAGCGATGCCTGCTCCTTGCCTTTTTCCCTAAGGCATGAGATACGGACAAATGTCCAAGTTTCACATTTGAATTTCTGAATTTTAAGAGATGTTTTATAGAAATAAAAGGTTTTATAGCTAAGAAATTTTCCCCTTCTTTCCTTTCTCTTAATTTCTTATGTCTTTTCATACAAACTCATCTTTCCAAGAATCTGAGGTGGTAATCCTGTCCAGCGAGAGGGGCTTGTAGGCTGTCTCATCACTGAAGACAACTTGCAGCCTGGGAACCAACTCCCTCCCAAACGCTGCCGCATTGGAAGTCTCAGGAACACACCTGACACCAGAAAAACGTTTCCTCTTCTCTGGAGGACCAGGAGCTGCTGTTAGTGGGAACCTCCCAACTGAGATCAGTTTGAGTTTAGGGTGTATGTTGTTTTCCACATTAGACTATCCTTAAAAACTTCGCGTGGGCAATTAGGTTAGCAAGTGTTAGTTGAGCACTTACAATATGCCAGAGATTGTTCTAGTGCTCTCACATCCCTTACTTCACTGTCACACTTTTAAGAGCTACACATATTCGTTCCTTTCATTCCCATTTTACAAATTGAGGGCAACTAATCAGAGTTCAGTAACTTTTCTAAAGTCTTCTAGTGTAACAGAAGAAAATGGTCTGAATTTTTCTGACTCCAAGTCTAGTGCTTTTTCCGGTTTTTACCGTTTTCGTGACCCTGCAGAGCAGGGTTGGCAGGTGCTCTGCGGTCGTCAGTTGTTTCCTGCACAGGGGCAGACGGGATGAACTCTCATGTTCCGCCCGTGCTTCGCCTACCACAGCCTGAGCCCTGGAACAAGGGGAGCCTCTCTCCTCTTTCTGATTTCTATAAAGGTACCGTATGGGCTGGTCAGAGCAAAGGTGATGGCCAGGACTGTCCTCGACTTCTAACTGTCCCAGATGTTTTCCCTTCAGACAGTGGACGAGACGCCGCGTGGCTACAGGATTGGCAGCATCACTGCATCTTTCGTGAGCTTGTAAACAAGCGTGGGCAACCTGACCCAGGAATCACCACCACGTGCTCAGTGAGACCGGCGAAGACAGCGCCATGGTGCATTTTTCTTTCTTCCTCCTAGTTTGTTTCCTTTTGTCCATCAGGTGGGGGTGGGGGTGAGGTGGGCAATACACAGGCATTGCTTGGCCTCGTGACAGACACAGAGGTCACCGACTCAGGAGGGCTGACCAGGCACCGCTTGCTCAGAGGCTGACGGGACTTCCCGGCGAAAATCCGCCACAGCACAATGTCAAGCTGATTATAACCTTGGCTATAGAATACCAATTCTATGGCATAGAACAGCGAAATTCAGTCACTGTTTTGTAGTTGCTTACATATAATATAAACAGCGCTCCATGGAGAGTTGGAAACTATCATGTTCCTAAAATACTAATACATCCGGTCTTCCCTTTCTTCACACAAGACTATTTAACTTCAGCCTGCCATGTTCCCGTGCATTAAAACCATCCCGGTCCTCCACGTTTCTGTTTACAGAAACCCTCGCCAGACAGCTGCTTCACTGGGAGCTCAGGCTGGAACTGTTCTCAGGGATACCAGCAAGGCCTTGTCGTAAGTTAAAGGTAGCCGCTGGCTCAAGATGATTCTTACCTTGTTCTCACCTCTCCTAAGCAGAACTTCCATAGTGCTATCGCTCACTTTAGTGTTCTTTGCACCACTAGAAGAAATTGGTTAATGAATGTTCTAGTTCGAACAAAAGGTTTGACATGTTAAAGATTACTAGTTTGTTGCCTTTCACCAGGAAAAGGAAGTTCAAGTACAGTTCCTGGTTAGAGTCTGGAGTAACTCGGTTTGTTCCTGATGGTTTCCAGCGAGAGAAACCATCAGATTTCTCTTTTGTGGGTGGGTCCTTGGCCAGCACCAAAGGAAAAGATAGAATTTACTTTTTCCTAGTCTTGTATTTTTCCTGCTATTGCAGTCTTCCATTTCTTTCTTTCAGATTAAAAGTGCCTCTTCCTGCCTAACGCATTCCTTAAGCTCAGTTTACTATCGGTTCTAATGCTCTCATCTCCTGAAAAATACCAGAATTAAACGGTAATTCGGTAATTAACATAGCATTTTGCCTAAGCAGCATGCACTTCCTCCTGCATTCAGTTCCACCAGCGCTTGCTCCTTGCCACAGCTCGGGTCTGCTCAGTTCATTACTGTGGATTCTTCTGCCGGCCTTCTGGCCAATCTGCCCGTCATCAGGAGAAAGACACAAAAAATTCACATCTATGGACTGTGCTTTCTGTCAGAAGCAAAGTGTTAGGGAGAACACACTGGAGGTTGCAAAATGAGATTTGAAGACAACCGACGGACTCGTTCATAGGGTAACCTTCCGCCCTTGGCTTCAGTGGGGTTTTTTTCGGATAATAAGTCGTGTAAATACATACCTATTTGACTCCAGGTTCTGAAAACCAGATCATAACACTCAAAGGACGCTCCCTATTCTAGTTCTCAGTCAGCTTACTCAAGTTGTTGGAAAATAAAACCAGGCTGTGGTGCTGTGTCATCCTTTAAGGCAGCCCTGAGCGCCTCAGCAGTTCACGCCGGCTCCTAAGAGGTGAGGTCAGGAATGATCGGACCTTCCGAATGCACCAGATAGCCCACCTGGCTTTCAGACATGCCAAGCATCTTTTGGAGGAGAAAGCTTTTTATCTTTAACAAAGGAATTCCATCACTGGAACAACTCAAATGTTTTAAAAACAGAATGGAAAACATTCTCTGAATTAAAGTCCTCTCTCAAGTATATCCCCAAGGATTACATTACCAGGGCAGGATCCACCAACTTCTAGGATAAGCCTGAGTGGTCACGGCTGGGGTGCGCTCAAGACCACACTTGTTTTTGACACAGTGGAATCTTTTTATAATGTTGGTTTGGGAAGAAGGGGTGACAACTGTGCTTTATAACCAAGAAAGTACTTTGTACTTGGTCTGGAAGAATTTATACCAAGACCTATTACAAACTATATTAAAATGGCAGCCTGCTGTATTTGAGGGAAACAGAAGAAGGTTAAGATGCTGTGAAAGATTAAAAGTATCCTAAGAGGCCAGGTGTGGTGGCTCACACCTGTAATCCCAGCACTTTGGGAGGCTGAGACAGGAGGATTGCTTGAGGCCAGGAGTTCGAGACCAGTCGGCAACATAGTGGTCTCTACAAAAAGAGTATTAGCCAGGCATGGTGGCACATGCCTGCAGTCCCAGCTACCCAGGAAGATGAGGCAGAAGGGTTGCTTGAGCCCAGGAGTGCAATGTGGCAGTGAGCTATGATGATGCCACTGCACTCCAGCCTGGGCAACACAGCAAGACCCTGTCTCTTTACAAAAAAAAAAAAAAAAAAAAAAGAATAAGAGCCTGGAATTATTTGCTGTTTTAGAGCTCCTTTCCATTAATTTTGAGTTGCTAATTATACTTAAATTCTTCCTTTTGGAGAAAATACCTCCCCCTCATGAGACTGTGATTGTAATGACCAATACATGTATGGGTGAGTGTGTACATCTATGTGCGATTCAACTTGTTTCCACTATAATATTAATCCTTACAAAAAAACAGCCCACTCCAAAACATTAAAAGTTGGAGCGTTACTGGAAGCTTTATTTCCAAATGGCGGCCTTCACGTCGCAGGCAGCATCTACTTTTCGTATTTGTAACCTTTTGCCCACATCAGATTGAGACCCAGCCCTAGGACTCAGAGTTGTTCTTCTTTTCTGATGAATCTAAACTCTTGAACAGACGTGTTCTCGGTAACAAAGTATTTATTAGTACTTCATTACTCTTGTTCATGCTTCCCCAGAAGCATCGCGTTCACAGTAACAAGAGCTTCGTGTGAAAGGTAACGTTGGTGATATCGCCCCACGAGCCCTGTCAGTTTTAAACTGATTCCCAGGAAACCGCTTATGTTTGGGAACAAAAGACCAGCTCCGCATTGTTTCTAAACCTAAGCTTTTCCTTGTTTATTTTGGCACTGCCTAAGTGACTTGGTTTTGACCATGTCCCTAGGAAAGGGAGGCCCTTCAGTTGCTGGATTTTAAGAAGTCTAATCGCGCTCTCATCTTTCATGCCTAGAAACCTTTTTCTCCAGACGCATCTCCTCAGGCGGGGATGGGCTGAGGGGCGTGACTGGACCCCGAAACTGCAAGGCTCTTAACAGGGCGTCTGCAGTAGTCTCCGGTACCCCGTCAGCTTGAAATTTTTAGGAAAAAAAATTTTTTTTAAGCAAAGCCTTGGTTTCTTAGAAAGAGAAAAAGTACATTTATTTACCAGATTTTGGAAACAGCGGTTGACTGTTGGGCCCATAAATCACCTTCACACCTTTTAACTGCCCGCAGTTGTTCTTGACTCAAATACAAGGAAATCAAGTTGAAAAAGTCAAACACCTGTGGAGGAGGCCGGAACTTTCCACTGAGTACAGCACTGGAGTCCAGAACCCCTGCGCCATTTGGTTTTCAGACAGGAAAACTGTTGCTTCCTTAGTATTGAGATGTCCCCTATCTTGAGTGTCACTGTCATTCGTGATGGGTATGTGCATTTCTTCTCCCAGCCCTGCTCTCCTCAGACAGGACACTGCTTGCTGTAAGACCATCCCCCAAGGTTGTACTTTAATAAACAGAATTTTTTTTTTTACCAAAAAAATACTGTGTTTTGTTCTTCTGTCTTAAAGCCTGCTTTTAAACTTAATTTTCTTGGCCAATAAATAGCTTCATCTAAAAAAAAAAAAATACATTTTCAAGTGGGAACCTGTACAGCTGAAATAAGATAAAGGCACAATGTGTAGATTTAGGAAGTGGTATGAAACCCATTCGAATACGTGCGAGTTGACATTTTCATTCAAGTGTATTAACGTCGAAATTTCTAAATGAGTCACCAGCTTAAAACATCATTTAAAAACGGCGAGAAATAAATAGCTATTGTCCAGCGCCTGTCTTCTCCAGGAACTTCGTTTCCACGGCCAGAGCTCGTCTCCACTGGAGACAGGTGCGCTGCTGTCGCCGCACCAGGCTGCGGCCGGTCGCGCTTTTGCAGCATCCACTCAGTCCATCTAGCACAGGGAAGGAGAAACAGGCAGATCAGCCAGGCTAACTCACAAAAACACACCCTCTGGAGCCCTACTCCTTCTATACCTGCGTCCAGTTTTTTGCTACGTAGGAGCAAAAACAGGATTTCCAGCTGCTCAGACCTGGCTGTGCTCATCTCCTAAATTCCTGAAGGCATCCAGAGGAACCAAGACTGTCTCAGGCCTTCAGTGTGTGGTGGGCTGTCAGCACGGACTGCTGCGGGCATCTGGCCCACTCACTGCCCTTGGACAGTGGCTGGGAAAAGCTGTCCAGGACCTCTCGGGCTTACCTCCTTCCAACAGCTCTGCTTGGCTTGACACCTGATCTAAGACTTACATTCATTCTCCCGTTTGTAAAATGCCTTGTAACTGAAGACCACAGCACATAAGGAATACTTTCTTTAGGCTTATCAGTAAATATTAAGAGGGTTAGTTGCTAATTTATTTAAAAACTAAGGAAGCCTGGCTGGGTGAGGTGGCGCACGCCTGTAGTCCCAGCTACTCGGGAGGCTGAGGCAGGAGGATCGCTTGAGCCCAGGAGTGCGAGGCTGCTGTGAGTTAGGCTGATGCCACGGCACTCACTCTAGCCCAGGCAACAGAGTGAGACTCTGTCTCAAAAAAACAAAACAAAACAAAACAAAACTACGGAAGCCTGAGTAATGCTTCTGACATGTCATAAAATCTCAAATATTCCCTAATATTTCTAAGTTAACAGATAAGATACATCTACTCATGTCCACTTCGGTCTACGAGACTGAAGCACCGGAGTTTAAGGACTATCTGGCCTGTCTCGGCAGCAGCATGACTTCCAACACCCTGGTTATTAGAAGTGACTTTTAATGCCCCAGTTCTGGGACAGACGTGTTCTGGGGAAGATTTGGCTTCTCCCTTTTTTGACTGTTCCTTCTGGTCTCTCCCCCTCAGCCTTGGTGAGCATGTTGTTTAAGAATTTACACTCACTGACTTTTGTGCCAAGGGAGGTGACAGCGGCCTGAGGAAGCTCGGCTTGGGCCGCCCAGCCACTCCCTCCCACGCTTGCGTGCTCTGTGCACCGCAGGATTCCAGCAAGGGTGCGCGTGGGCCCTCGCCTCCCTCCGAGGGGAGCGTGTCTTAAGCGTAAGGCTGAAAAAGTGCCAAAAGACAGGAGGTATCCGTTGCCACCTCTACTACACGGCTTTCTTGCTCATGAAGCCAAAGCCGCGCCTCCCTGCCTGAGCAGGAAGGTCTGTGACAGTGTCCTGCGCCGGCCGCCCGCGGCACGGAGGGCAGGGATGGGCGTCCAGCGCTCGGGCACAGGGAAGTGGGCAGGGGCAGCGGGCAGAGGCCAGGCGGACTCAAGGGAATGCCAAGGGGCCGTCTTCACCGGTTCTTACGTTTCTGGCCAAGTTCCTCACATAGGTGAGCAGGTTCTGGTTAATGAAATTCACTGTTGTGCGAAAGACATCACGGAGCAAGGACGGCGTGTGATCGGCCACCTTTTTGGCCAGCAGCATGGTCAGCACCAGCGTGGCCTTCTCCTGCTCCAAGTCTGCGGGGCAAGTCTGCATCAGCTGCTCCAGGGCGGTGGCCAGGTGCCTCCTTCTGTCCTGCACAGGGTAAAGACAGGTGAGCACGGAGAGGCGCCCAGAACCTGGTTTACTGAGCCGTCCCTCTCAAAGGCAAACACTCCGCAGTGATGAGCACAAGGAAGCTTGCTTAGTAGCTGAGGACGCTAAGTATGGAGAAGGAGGAACTATTTTGTTTCCTGGGGCAGCCGAAAGGGAAGACGGAGACCCTCCCTGGAGTGGGTGCTCACTGATCAAATACGAGTTTAGCGTGCCACTATTAGATACTGAGGGAATGCAAGGAGCCTAAGTCATTCCCTGCCCCTAAGGCACTTAACTCAAGAATCAGTTAACTATCTCCTCTGCGGCCCATCTTACGGTGCAGCCCTGAAGGGAGGGGAGGGAGGGGCACCACGTGACATCCCCGGTGCGTGGAGGAGCAGACCAGAGCCCGCTGCACTGGCAAGGACCAAGCTTAGGACTCGCACGCAGAGTTAAGCTAATGCTGTGGGCGAGTTCTAAGGCGGAGCCCTGCTCCACACATCTGTGCTCTGCACTGCTGGGGACGCCCCACGGGAGGGAGCACCAGGATGACAACGCCCTCCAGAGACTGCAGGCTCCACCTGCTGAGATCTGAAGCCTGGCTAAGTTTCTCGGTAGTGAGGGCACCGGCGTGTTCAGTTGGTAGAAGTAAAAGATTGGACCTTTTCTCCCCTCCAAACTCCTGTCGCTACAGACGTGTATTTGACGGCCTGGGAGTACGTGGTTCTCTTTCCCCCTAAATTTCGTCAGGAGGGACACGGTGCCTTGGGCCAACCTACCCCACAGCGCCGGGCAAGTGGCAGCTCAGTAAGCATCTGTGTACCGATTACGGCCACAAAGCCAAGAAGAGCACCAGGCTAAAATGTCACTTTTTTAAAAAGCAATTTAAAGTTCTCCATTGACATTTTTATTCAAGTCCCTGAAACTGAAGGAAGAATAAGTTATCTCTGGAAGAGTCCCATGCATACACTTGGTTAATCTTTTTGGAGGCTTTTATCTCTAAACTCTTGGCTCTGACTTGGGTTCAGTTTTCCTAAATGTCAACTAACTTAATGCTTCTGAGAGACGATTAACCATGCTTTGACTATTTCTAATTATCTTGTCAAAGCCCCAGATCCAACAGCCATGAACTGAGTCACCTAGCCAGACACTGGTCTGTCTGCCAGGAGACAGAGCACAGGCCCGGTTGGTTCCACCGATCCCTGAAACAGTCCTCACCCCGAAAAGGCACCCGTGTGTCGCCCCTCACTTACTTCCTCCAACAGGTTCGGGTTCATAAACTGCATCGCCAGGTGGTTCACCAGTCTCGGGGGGATGCTGCGGTCCATGCTGTCCCCTATTTGGGCCAGCTGCCTGGCAAGGTTCTGAATGAGGTCCTCCTCACTTTCAGAATCTGAACGTTCGGGCAGGGGCGGCAGAGACAAGGCAGATTCAGACCAGGGCCTGACACCCTAACCCAGGCCGGCCAGCCGCCCGGCAGAGGACAAAGCCGGCCCTCCCTCCCGGCGCGCCGCCGCACCAGGGCCCGCGGGCAGCGGCGAGGGCCGGACACTAGCTGGGAATCGGCCCCTCCTGAACGCGGCCGGGCGGCCGCGCTGGGGCACTCGCGGCTGCGGGCACCCGAGGGACAAGCCGGCAGCACCCGGCCCCCAGGAGGCGTCAGCCTCGGGCGCTGAGGCAAAGACGCCTGGCGCCACCTGCGGCCGCTCCTCCGGGCCAGGCCTCCCGCCGAGCGCCGCGTGTCCCCCGGGCCACCCGCTCCCACCGCCACGTCCGGGCCCTGCCGCCCACCCCTCTCAACCCTCCCTAACTTCCCGAAAGGGAGCCCGCGGCCACCCGTCAGTTCAGAGCCGGCCGGAGGACACGCGGGCCGAGAGCAGGGCAGAGCCTCCGCCCGGCCTCGTCCAAGCCGGGTCGGGCAAAGGCCGGTCCCCGCGGCCACCAGGGGGCAGTGCAGCCCGCCGTGCCGAGGCGCCCCGCGACGCCGGGCCTGGCTCCGGGTCCTCGGAACCCCCGCAGGGCTCAGGGTCGGACGCTAACCAGGGCCGGGATCCCGGGCAGTCTCCCAGCTAAATAGCCGGGCCCGGGCCCGCTCCTCTCGCCGTTCTCACGGCCGCTACCGCAGCCTCCGTCCTGGGGCTGAGCTCGGGACCGCCCTGTGGCAGCGGCGCGGGAAAGGGACGGGAGCGGTGGGGGCCGGGCCGTGCGAACCGGAACCGCAGGCAGCGCCCAGGGCAGGACCCGCCGGGCCGCACCCCCGCGCTGTTTGACTTGGGGCTGGTCATTTACCCTTCTCGGGGCCTCGGTTTCCTCATCTGGAAGCGAGGTTCGGAATGCGAAAATGTTCTTATTATCGCAGAGGTAACCAAAGTCATAGCGTACCCGAAGGTAAAATGCACTTCAAAGCATTGCTATGAAGAGAAGCGGATTTCAGCTGCCCGGAAGCTGGGCCAGGGCTGCTCAGGGCCACAGGGGTCAGCAGCATCCCCCGTGCGGCCTCTCCCGGGCCCAGCCATGCCCCGGACCCATCAAATCAGAATCCCTGGGGGCTGGACCAGGCACCGGTATTTTTCACAGCACCGCAGCTTCCTGAAATTATATAAACCCAAATTTGAGAATCCCTTGTGTCATACAATCCAGATCAGTGGTTCTGATAGAACAATCTGGTTCTATCAGAATTGGGAAATTTGGTAAAAACACTGTATTAGTGCAGACAGGAGAATCAGGGCCAGCACATGAAGGTGATTCCGGCTCATCAGCAGGGAAAAACTTTATAGCAGTCATCCAAGAATAGCAGATAATGAGCTCAGCATCCCTGGAGGGAATCAAGGACAGACCAAACCACAACAGGACACAAATACTTATGGTGGCCTGAAACTACAGAGTGCAGACTGGGCCCAAAGGTCCCTTGCGGCCCTCAGGCTCCCCAAATGTTACTGGACAAAGCAAATCCCAGATCTAGGCAGAGGAGGCACAGCCAGACGCCTACCTGCCTCTATTCTTTGCGCGTGGAAGCGGCTGGCCCTGCTGCCGTCTGTCTGCAGCTCGTCCTCATGGTCCTCCCACAGGTGATCTTGCACAGGTAGCTCATAGCCCAGCGCCTCCAGCTCTGCCTGGAAACTGTTGCTGGAGCAGCTTTGGAGGAAGCCAAACACCAGCAAGTCTGTGATGCGCGCGTCCTTGAGGCCCGAGCCATTGCTGACCTAGGACGGAAGGGGAGGCAGGGAGACTTGGGGGACCCCACAGAAGCCGGGAGCGGGGCCTGGGACAGACACTCCTTCAGAGCCCCCGAAGGAACCAGCCCGGACAACACCTTGATTTCAGCCTCTGGCCTCTAGGACTGAGGGAATAAACCTGTGTTTAAAGCCGCTCTGTTTGTGGTATTTGGTCACAGCGAGGACTTCCTTCTGATCCAGGGGTTGGTACACAGGTACCCAAAGTCTGGATGCAGAGCAGGCTCTCGGGTTCAAGTTCAGTGCCCTGTGTCTTTCCCACATAAAATAAAAAGAATAGAGTTGACAGGGAAGGAAAGGAAAGAATTTCATATGTCAGAGGATGGGTCCAGAAGCCTTGAGGGGTAACCGTGACGTCAGAGGCCGAGCGGCAGGCGGAGGCAGAGCAGGCGGACAAGCACCTGCAGCCGGCGCCGAAGACGACAGGATAATTCCAGGAACAAATAGAGCTTGGGCCTTGCCAAACATGGACCTTTCCTGATCTTCTAGATCCACTCGTGATCAAAGTTGAAATGAACGTCTCAGAAGATGGAAAATGTGATAGGTGTTTATCTTTTTAGATCACAGGGGAAAAATATGTTAAGAGAAATGATCAAGACTCAGGAAATCCTGCTGGACGTATTGCAGACTGATTTTACTCTCATCAAACAAAATCAGTTCCAGTGCAAAGAAAAAGATGGTCACTGCCCGATGTGTTTGATAAACTGGAAATACCCTGGTGCCCAAACTTGGCAAAAACGATTGCCTTGTTTTCCCAAATATCAAAAAACATCAAAGAGGCAGCAGTTGTAAGATGCCAAGAGGTAAAACAGGGCCAAATTCTCCATACTTTCTTATGGAAAAAATAGGAACACTGATTTAAAAAAACGTTAATATTTCATGTTAATAATGTAAGAGTGCTGATTAGCATTTTTAGAAATAGACTGGTAGAGAAAATGTGGCCAACTGAACAGATGCTGGGGAAGGACTCAAGGGCTGATGTAAGGCAAAGGAACAACGGATGAGAAACAGCAAAAGTTGGAAAACCAGTTGAAATACACCAGTAATTGCAACAGATGTAGCTTATTAAAGTCACTACGAGACAGACTGAATTTCTTGAAAATTTTAAAAATATATGCCCTTTGAGTCAACCCACAAAACTCAACATAGAAATGTTGCAAATATAGACATTTTGAAGTTAAAAAAAAAAAAAAATCTAAGAATGCTACAACACGGGCGAATTCCGAGGGCGCCGTGCTAAGTGAAATAAGCCGGGCACACAGGGACGACTGCCGTGGGACTCCACCCGAGGAGGGGCGGAGCGTAGCCGGATTCCCAGAGACGGCAAGTGGAAGGTGGCGGCGGCGGGGCTGCTGGTGTTGATGGGGACGGAGTTTGGGTTTGGGAAGAAGGAAGAGCTCTGAGGACGGAGGGAGGCGCTGGCTGCACAGCAAAGTGACTGTACCCAGCGCTACTGCGCCACATGCTTAGAAACAGTTAAAATGTTAAACTAAATACACAAAACTAACATGTTTTGTGTATTTTACCAATTTTTTTAAAAGCTGGAAAAAAAAAATCAAGGAAAAGTCAGAAATGTCTACAACAGGATGAAAGTTCTGATGGGGAAAAAAGGCGGAACTGTGAAATGTTGGAGAAAACTGCTAGTGTTTCACTGGGAAGCCCAAGTGTGCGGGACCCTGGCAAGCCACCTCACTTCTTTGTCTCAGCTTCCTCACCTTGGAGGGAAAAGGAAAGGCGCCGGGAGTGACCACAGCCACCCTCCTCCCCTGAGGGGCCTCGGAGGAGCGCAGAGCGAGGGCCGCACACGTGTGATGGATGGTGGCATCTTAACCTGCAGACGTCGCCAGAACGTGGGAGCAATGACAGCGGCAGGGGCGGGAGGGGTGGGCTCCAGCGCACTGCACGCCACACGCTTGCACAGAACACTCTCTCGGACGCTGACGACAGCCCTTTGTCAGGACAAGGGGAGCCTCCATTCACAAAGCTAACATCTGCCCTGAGCCCACTGTGGCTCAGGCCCTCCAGCCACCATGCTAAACGCCAGTCGGGTCCCACCCTTTTGCAAGGACAGTCCACAAATGCATCCTGAGAACCTGCCAGGCGCTGCTCTACACTCAGGAACTGGGGCGACGAGGGGCAACGCAGGGCACCGGGTTTACAAAATGCCACATCACTGGACTCTCACAGACACCTCCCCCGTGGCCGGTGAGAACAGCGGGCGGCTGGTGCATGCAGCGTGGACATGGGAAAGCCCCGGTGCTGGACGCCCTAAAGAGGTTGCAGAACTTGGCAAAGAAGGGACATTAAAAGGCTACATATAGTACATGGACAAAAAAAAAAAAAGAGCTTCTGGTTGGATATGCTATAATTTCCTCTCCCAAGATCATTCAAAATACAGACAAGGAATAATTTAGGTGGCATCCCAGTAAAGGTGGGGAACAGCCCGCAGGACCCCCGTGTGACCCCACCCCAGAACCTATAGCTTTTCCATGACCCTGAATCGAAAGCCTGCGCCCCTCCATAGCCCGGGCACCGCGCGCGGCGGGCCGAGTCAGGGCGGTCAGGGAGGGAGAGCACGGGAACGGGCGGGCGGGCCTGCTCTGTTCTCTCACGGTGCTCTGCTAAGTGGCAAGTCTGAAGGTCCTCTTCGCAGAGCTGTCGGTTCGGGGCTGGGCGGGATTAGCAGCGACAGGCACACGCGTGCAGGACAAGCTGACCCTAGGCCACCTTTGTGTCCCCCCAGGGCAGTCCTCCAAGGATTTCAGAGTCTACCTCAGAGTCCATGGCGCGGGCAGTGCTGGGCAGCTCCAAATCCCTTCTGGTGCACAGGCGTCCCGGGCAGCAGCCTGGAAGGGGACACACACACAGGTGGGTGGCCGCTCCCTGCAGGGACACCCCAGGCCCCCGAGGGAAGAGCGGGGGAAGCCGTCCTGGGCTCTGGCCCAGAGCCACCGTCGCCGGCCCTCCCGGGCTCCCCGGCATTTCTTTCCTTCTCTCACAGAGAGCCGCGCGCAGCCGCCCCGGAGCAGGCTCTGGAGATTCCTCATCCCAGACACGCGCCCAGGCCGCGGCGCTCCGCGGGGTCAGTCCTGCAGCCTCGGTTCATCTCCCTACTCCGTGCCCGGGGAGGCCGCCCGGATCAGGCCAGCAGGACAGTCTGGCTCGCGAATTATTGAAAAATAAATACGTATATTAGTTAGTAGATTATTACTATCACCACTATTCCTTCCAACAACGACAGAACAAACAACCCATTTTTTCAGGGTGCAGCAGCGCTCAGAGCACTTCACTTATTCTCTCTTTTGCTGCACGCAGCTCTGCTGAGCAGTAGGCAGTGTTAATTCTGACGTCGTCGTGAGAAAATAAGGTTTGGGGGGTAATTTTCCGAGGTCACAGACCTAGCAAGTGGCAGCCAGGACTAGTAAGTGACCACACAGCAGGTGAGGTCTCTCCGCCTCCAGGGGGTCGATTAGAAGGAGCATTGGTATATGGAAACCTCCTGTACGACGCTTATTAAAAAGGAGAACGCACGGGGGACCCTTGAGCGACGCGGGTCTGAACTGCCCTGAGACAGCAGGAGCAGCCCCCGCCCTCCTCGTCCTCAGCCGACCTAACACGAAGGTGAGGAGGAGGAAGGACTATGCCTCCCACTCAGTGAATGGTAAACGCGTTTCTCTTCCTTATGATTTTCTTAATAACATTTTCTTTTCTCTAACTTACTTTATGGTAAGAACACAGTACATAGTACATACAACATATGTGTTAATGGACTGTTTATGTTGTTGGCGAGGCTTCTGGCCAACAGCAGGCTACGAGTAGCTTTAGTTTTGGGGGAGTCCGAAGTTATATGTGGATTTTGACTGTGCGGGGATCAGCGCCCCGACCCCCACGCTGTTGAAGGCTCAACTGTATTTGATAATTACATAAAAGAGTAAAAGCTTCCATACACCAAATTAAATAACCCATCATAAACTACTGGCCAGACAAAAGCCATTTGGGAATTAAGTTTTTTTAAAAAAAGCCCAAACAATGGAATATATACAACCGTTAAAAAGAATGAGGCCGGGTGCGGTGGCTCACGCCTGTAATCCTAGCACTCTGGGAGGCCGAGGCGGGAGGATTGCTTGAGCTCAGGAGTTCGAGACCAGCTTGAGCAAGAGTGAGACCCCCGTCTCTACTAGAAATGGAAAGAAATTAGCCAAAACAAATAAAAATAGAAAAAATTAGCCGGGCATGGTGGCGCATGCCTGTAGTTCCAGCTACTCACTCGGGAGGCTGAGGCAGGAGGATCGCTTGAGCCCAGGAGTTTGAGGTTGCTGTGAGCTAGGCTGATGCCACGGCACTTACTCTAGCCTGGGCAAAAGAGTGAGACTCTGACTCCAAAAAAAAAAAAAAAAAAAAAAGAACGAGAGGTCTGTGTGTCCATCAGTACAGAAAGACACCCAAAACACTGAAAAAAATTCCTGTAGAACAGTCTGGATAGAACGATCCTATTTTTAAAAGTATTTGCCTGTGTGTGTGTGTGTGCATGTTTACATTAGGTTGAACCAAAGGGAATGGTCATGTTGTAAGACAAAACCAAATACAGGCAATTTCATATGGCTCCTGAATACATAGGAGACAAAACGCAAACAGAAGAATGGCCAATCAACTGTCTCCAGAAGGGAGGGAGGCAGCCCTAGCTCTAGAGAAGAGGGGCTGGAAGGGCCGGCACTGATGCACCTCCCCCCACAGGCAGCCGGCACCCGCCACGCTGGGTGCCCTCACGCACTTGGCACTGTCACCTCCCTGTCTGGGGGCTCACTTCGGCCTTAGGGATCATGCACGGCTGGAGGCTGGACCCCGGCCCTCCCACGAGCAGTCCGGAAGAGCCGACCCCGCGGCTGGGTGTGGCTGTGCATTTAGGAGGAAGGGGCCAGCGGCAAAGACCTCCTGGGTGTGGCCATAGGGGGAAGCTCCGGGACCCTGGCTCCAGGGCCATCCGGGGGCCCTCACCGGGCACCAAGACAAAGGACAAAACAGAACACACCCCTCGGAAACAGATCACAGAAACCCAGCCACCTGCCCAGACCACTGCCAAGGTCACGGTGCAGTGTCCAGAGCCCTGGTCTCTGCCTCAGGGCCCAGCGCCCCCTCCCTTCCACCACCACGTTCTTCTAGAAGCAGCTTCAGAAACCTACATGGGGGCAGGTTTACCTGTCAGCCCAGCACTCAAGCGACAACTCACGCGCACATGTGAACTGACTTCCTTCCAGACGCACACACACATCCGCATCTGCACGCACACCTGTGGCCATCTCCTCACTTCAAGAAGTCTTCCAGAACATTCTAGCATCGACATCTTATTGCAGTGGTTCTCAACCAGGGGTGATTCTGAGCCCCAGGAAATATCTGGCAACGTCTGGAGACATTTTTGGTTGTTGCCATGGGGCGGTGGGGAGGGTGCTGCTGGTGCTCGGTGGCCAGAGAGCAGGGGCGCCGCGGAGCACGCCAAGGGGCAGGGGGCAGCGCCTCGGTCGACCAAGCCCCAGTGTCACTGCTGCCCGGAGCTCGGACCCTGTTCTGGTGTGTGCAAACACCAAAATACAACCAGCCCCTGCTGGTGGACATTTAAGTAGCTTAAAAATAGGGCTGTAATGAATACCTGGCGGGGCATCTTCCCATTAAATCCAGAGTCAGTGGGCTGACACACGGTGTGCCAGTCTGTGCACAGGCCTCATGGCAGCCGCCAGAGAGGACAGGAGTGAGAGCAGCTCCCCTGGGCTGGCCCTCGAGGTCACACGGCCTGCGCCCAGGGACCCCGCACCCACATGAACTCTTGGCCACTCTCTTCCCAGAGCCATGGGAAGCCATAACGCCCACCTCGCCTCAGAACAAGGTCAGCAGGGTGTTCACAGCCAGGATCTCACCAGCCGCTTTATGCTTTGTTTCCCCAGTGGCCCGAGGACTCTGCGGCGTAGGGATGGCAAACGTTGTCACTGATGACAAAGACCCCTGGCAGCTACCCTCTGTTAACACCACCCAGACGCACCAGGCTGGCCCTGCGGCCTCCTCTCCAACCCTCACAACATCTTGCCAAGAAGGCACATCTGCCCTAGGTTTCGGAGACAGGGCTGTGGCTCAAGAGTGCCCAGGGAGGGCAGGGGACCCTTCAGCAGCTGCACATGCCCAAGCTGGGGGTGTCTGGACAAGTCACAGCCCCCCCATGCCCACTTCTCCTGAGTAAGACCAGCAGATACCAGATCGCTCATGTGTCTACTCTGATTCCAGTCCCGCCCCGCTTTTTTATTTTTTAGAGACAGGGTCTCCCTCTGTTGCCTGGCCTAGAGTGCAGTGGTGCCATCGTAGCTCGCAGCAACCTCAAACTCCTGGGCTCAACTGATCCTCCTGCCTCAGCCTCCCAAAGTGATGGGATCACAGGCATGTGCCACTGAGCCTGGCCCAGCCGCCCTTTCTGAAGCCCCAGAGCCTCCCTCACAGTCTGGAGGCCAAATGTCCCTGAGAACCTCACAGTTCACAAGGGGCCCGCCCAGCCCCTCCCACACAGCTGTCAGGGTGGAGGTGCAGCCAGGCCAGGGCAGAGCGGCGCAGGTGCTTCTGGGAGGGTGAGGTGTTTTGGAGGCTGAACTCTGTGCACGGCAGCTGCCTCCTTGGTCAGCATGTGGTCATGCCCGTGCTCCTGGTCCCATGTGTGGGTGGCAGCTGACTCGCTGAATTTCTGAAGTGATGAATGAATGGCACTGTGTCCCCCACCACCACCACACCCACCTCCTAAGCACCCCAGGGACCTTGAGGTCACCCTCACACTGCCAGGGAGGCACACTAGACGGACGCTGGGGGAGCCCAGCCCACTCCTCCACCAGCAGACATGCTGGGCTCATGGGACCCCCAGGCCCTGCCCCAGGGAAGCTTATTTACAACAAACATATCATGATTAATATGATGAATGCCCGGAAAACAGGCATGTGCTACTCTAAGACCCAGTCATCAACCCATCCACTCAACACTCAGAGGCCGGCCGGGTGCCAGGCGCCAAGCAAAGCTCCAACCCGGGAATGTGAAGTCAGTGACCCAGGCTAGGACCCAAAGTGCCCTCTCGGCGTGGACTCAAGAATGTCCAAGGCCGGGCGCGGTGGCTCACGCCTGTAATCCTAGCTCTCTGGGAGGC